TGTCCGCCCCATCTTTTTGAAGATCAATAGTTCAAATCCCAAATTCGTACATTTCTTTTGGAGGTATCTACATGGTCTTAGGCAGGCAGATGCCAATGCTCTGGGTTTTTTTGGCAAACCAGGAGCAGTGTAGCTGTTAATATGGTTTGGAGCCTGAATGAGTGTACCTGGTTTGGAGCTGGGTGATGCCTGCTTAGTTCCATGTGTCCTCCTGCACAGGGTAAGGAAGGCATATCCCTGCCTGCTTTTCTCCAGACCTAGCCATCCTCAGTGCAAAGTGTTGGTGTCCCCAGGAGTGGGCTGGGAGTGGCATTTGTGTTCAAAATCTCTGATAAGCTGGCGGGTTCTTGAGTGAGTCCCCTCTGGGGAAAAAGCGCATTTTTTAAAATGGGTTTTGAATACATGTTAATTGTAATTAATAATGTCTTGAACATCCTGATGATCCTCTTGATGATTTGGCATGTTTCCCAGGCAATAGGTTACCCTTTGTGCTCTTCAAATGTAACTTGAATTTCAGCATCTGAAAAAATCCTGGAAATAACAAGAAAACTCTTTGCAGAGCTGGAAAACTGTCTGAGGTGAGGTGAACAAAGAATACTGTTCACTGGAGGCTTTCAGCCTGGGCTGGTTAGCTGAAGGAGTAGAGAGCTTGCTTAGATCTGGGAACTTTTGGGACGCAGAGAGCAGAGCCTGGGCATGAGCTGTCTGCATAGCTGCTGGCCGTGGCACAAGGTGGCACAGGAGGGCGCCAGGTAGAGCAGCTTTACAAGCCTGAGTGCTTCAGCGGTGAGGTAGGGCAGGACAGAGGAAGCAGTAGCTGAGTGGGGGATGGCAGAGGCGAAAGTCCTGTCTCGTGCAGTTCGATTTGTCCCTGTGACCTAGCTAAGATCTTGGGACAAGCACTGTGGTGTATCTCAGTCCTTGTTGCTGCTACAAACTGCTGAGCACGTGACTATAAACTCTTTGCCAATGTAATGAAGAGTAGCAGAGGGAAGGACAGTTCCATACTGGAGTGCAGAGCGTTGTAGGCAGAAGGGAGACACCGCCACAGCCTGTGGATGCACCACTGGCTAAGTAATAACCAGGCTTTTAAAGAAACGTTTGTTTAGGAAAACCTTGAGGAGACGGTCCAAAAAATAATAAGAGAAAAGGTTTAACAGAACTGGCTTTCTTGAGTCTTTCCAGAATGCTGTGTCAAGCAAAATCACTTTGCTAAAGCAGAGAGGTTAAACAAAATGCTCATACGGATTTTCTGACATTTCCTGGAACTGGTGATACCCACTGAAACCATCTGCCATTATTCATGGTGAATGTATTCACATTGCTGCTGCTGTGATTTTTAATTGGGGAAGCCCCAGTTCTTCTGACAGGGCTTAAGGGAAACCTTTATCTCTTTCCTTTGTGCTGTCAAAGGAGAGGTTTGTATCCCTTGGGAGTCAGTAGGATTCTCTTATTGTACTGTGTGTACATATTGTCTGAGTAGTGGGACACATTCTTGTTGCAGAAGTTGTCAGTGGAAAGATGGGAGGTAGCTGTGGTTTAGTGATGGCCAAGTACAACTACCCTGTTGAGTGGAATGGTGTACATGGAGATGAAAAGCTTATTACACGTAGCAGGGATTTTCAGTTTTTAAGAGGAAGTTTCAGAGTTGGAAAGGCAAGTGTAGGAGCACTCTGTGTGTGCCCATGGGAATGCTCGTGTTTTGCCACTTAGAGGAGGGGAAAAAGTAGTTAAACCAAACTATATAGGTTTGCAGCTTAAGTTTGGTAAAATAATTCAAGTATCTGGATCTTTATGTGTAAACTTTGCTATTGCTTGTCAACATCAATAAAATCAGCTCAACAAATGCAACTGCTATTTCCGTACTTTTTCTGAAGAGAAGCGATGTTACTAATAAACTAACATCAAAATAATGTGCTTTATTGCTAGTGATTTTATATTAGAATTTAGGCTAAGTTCTATCTGTATATTAGTATTTAAAGGGAACCAAAAGAAAAGACATACTAAAAAGAGACAAGCAAAACCAAACCCCTAGAATTAGTAATGACAATGTATACTCGCTTTCAAAAATCCTGGTATTTTATGCCTGACTTCCTGAACATAATAATTCTGAACCAGAGTATTTTATTTCCACTTCTCATCAAAGAACCTATTTGTTTTCAGATTAGAGTAAAACCACACAGAGGAAAGAAAGGTTAAAAACTGTGCATATTACTTATTTTACAATTAGTATTCAGATGCTCAGTGGGTTCTGGAGGCAATTTACGAGAGTCAGAGATACAAAAATATAGAATCATCTTTATTAATGAGGTATGTGTTAGAGATCAGGTTTCTTGGGATACAGCCCAAGGTTTTTTCATTTTCATATTCCAGTGACCTGTTTTCTGGATGGTCTTAAGTCATTTGTCAAAGAATAACTCTGAAATCATCTGCCACTGCTATAAATTTTGGAATTAACATGGGTAAGATGATGAAGTACAAAAAATCCTGTTACTCTATCCTATTTAGGGAAATGGATAATGAACTGATAGCTAAATGCCTTCATGCCTAGGTCCAGGAGTCTTCACTGATGCTGACGATTTGAGAGCTTTAGATATTTAGGGAACCCTGGAAAAACCTGGCAAGAGGGATGTAGGCATGACTAGTTAGCTGTTAGATCAGAATTGGGTTTTCTCTTAATTTAGCTTGGTCCTGGGTGATTGCCATAACTTTTTCCCCAATGAATTCTTCATGTGTTTTTGATGCAAACTTCTCTCACTGTGGGCCTTTTGATCTTCAAACATTTGCTTTTGGCAGCTGTGCACTTTGCTTGCTCTAGGTGTCAATGCTTCCAGATAGCTGGCTAGGAATAGTTTTGGGGTACTAATTCTCTGATGCATTGTAATGCAACTCAGTAGCATTGTTGGTCACCTTGTTTTGATGGATTTAACTGCTGTCTTGCATGGTTTTCTTGATCATACTTTTTTTTGGTATTCATGACATAATTGACTTCTACAAGCCTTTGAATTAATTTTTTTAATGCCTGGTGATTTTGTTGGTGAATGATTGTTATCAAGATTCTTGATTCTTGTCCCATATACCACCCCCCACTTCAGCTATCTTAGTGGGGTGTGTGAGCCTCGTAATTCATAAACCATATTGACCTTGGATTTACATTTTTGCCTTAAGTCTTTCCAGTTATGTTACTTTGTGGAGAGATAAAAATTGAAAGTGTCTTTTCTCTTCCTGTTTGTGCCAGATTGGGTATTACTCAAAATCACTGCTTTTCTAATCTTTATATGTAAGATTCTTAGAACGGGTGACTCTTAAAGCCTGTGCATGGGAGTCATTTTTACTGTGTTCAGATTGGCCCTGTTTCTGCCAGTGCTTATTTTTGGAGTAGTTGCATTACTTGTGATATTTTAAGCAGTTTAAAGCCTTTGAGAAAATAATCAGCCTTAAGTGAGATGGATGAGTTACCTTTATTATAATGCTATTTTATTCAAAGTGAAACAGCAATCATTTATCCTTTCATAGCAATAGGATATTGACCGAGTGAAATATTAATGCATGTATTAAACTTTGGATTTTGAAACCTCTAGCAATTTTTATTTCTTTCCTCTATATTAGATGGTGTCAAATGCTAGTGTTGGAAGTAATTTTTTCAAAGATGATATTTAAAAGATGTGTGTTGGGATTTTTGTGGGTGCTTTTGTTTTGTTTTAAAATTGATATCCCTGAGTTTTCCTGGCCAACAGTGAGTTAAGAACCAGCTGGAACCTTTCTAATTCTTACATTGGGAGCTTACTATTCCCACCTATGGTTTGCATACCTACGTCTGAATATTTCTAGCAAAATCTGTTAGCATTTCCAGAATGAATGCTAGGCCCTCTAACTGTATCTTAGCAATTATTTATAGGCTGTACTGCAGAACTGTTTGTGGCGACCGTTGGGTAATTCAGTGTTTTGAGGAAATCAGCAGAGGTCAAAATTAATAGCTACCAGCAACATGACTTCCAAAATTCCTCTTCGGCCTTGGTATTGCCAAGTTTTAACCTTTGCCAGGCAGCTGGCTCTTCCTCTAAGGTGCATCTAGATTTTCTCTGACTTGGACTGGGGAAGATTTAAATTTTCAATCACTGCAGGTCCAAGCCTCTAACATTTTCAGATGCTGAAGGAAGCTCTAGTGAGAGGTTCACTAGAAAATACCCTCAAGGACTGCTGTTCTTTTTTCCCTCCCTAGTGATCAGTCACTCTGTTGGGCTGCATTATCCCATAACACTGGTCAAGAAGCAGCAGCAGATAATGAGCAGCACCAGTCAGCCTTTGCCTTCTTGGACCCACAGTTTCCCTGACTGTTTGCTTGAGTAGCATCTCTTACTTTTCCTCCAAAATCCTGGGTCTGTCCAGGTGCTGATAGTGGGATTGGAGGTCAAGGACACTTGGTGAAGTGAAAACGAGGAAAGAGAGGATCTTCTGCATTGGTGTAGACTAGAAATGTGGTTCCCCTGCTCCCCTGCCTTGCCAATGTAGGGATTAGTGAAGGGGAGCAGTGGGTGGCCTGAGGGGTTTACACTGATACACTTGTACTGCCTCAGTGTCCATCAGTAGTTGACTGTTTCTGTATCTATTTTTCTACAGTTTCTGTGGCATTATTAGTTTATCAAGATGCTTTGAAATAAGCTTTTATTTCTATTTATTTTTGTAATGGGAAGTCGGAGCTGATCCTGGATCCTGTGGTATTTCTGTACTGCAGAGATGAGCTCTGTGAGTATACATCAGGAATTTCTCTGTCTTTGTGGATTAGCAGCATACTTGCATGTTACTTCTATAGTATTGTATTGCTGTTGATGCTTGTGTTACTTCTGAGAGTCTTGGGGGTTCTGGAGAAATACATAATCTCGGTGTGACTTTGTGCATAGTGTGTATTCTTTCCTTTGTTCAATGCATAAGGTTTACTGGAAGAAAAGGAAGTCAAAAAGGACAACTTTTGCATCCTCTTCTTTTTGTCATAACAGGTGGCGACAGACAAGGTTGCAGGGAAGCTGAGCTCTACTCTCTCATGGGTGAAGAACACTGTGTCGCACACCGTCAGTCAAATGGCCAGTCAGGTGGCAAGTCCATCTGCCTCCTTACACACTACATCCTCCTCTACCACTCTGTCTACACCAGCCTTGTCACCATCCTCACCCACACAGCTGAGCCCAGACGACTTGGAGTTACTCGCTAAACTCGAGGAACAGAACAGGTGAATGGCAAACTTTTTGCTCTTCCAAGTACAGTAATGAGACTAAAATGGGTTTATTGTAATTGCAGCACAGAGGCTGTTAAATGGAGGTTAGGTAGAATTTAATGGCACAACACTTCAGTTTGAAGGCCCCAAGGTTTAAGAACTTGTGCTTTTGTACTGTGTTTTTATGAGTTCTGTTTTTGTGGAAATCTAAATGGTGTTTTCCTCTCCTGGTTTTACAGGAGTGTTTATAGCTGCCTCTAATAGTAAGAAATTACACTGAGTGTGATTTTCAGTGTTCAGTTTAAAACAGAGTATCTTGGGGTGAGACTTTGTGTATAACCTTCTTACCTTCTCAGATCAAAACTGTAATTTCTATTAGCTTTTTGAAATCTTAAATATTTCTTATTTTATCTTATTTTTTCCATTTTTACCCAGTTCTTGCTTTCAACTATATAACCTGCCATATATAGAGATAGAACAGTGTTCAACCACCTTCTTGCTGTTAGACTAGTGGTGGCAGATGCATGTCTTAAATTAATGAAAGGTAAATTCCAAGTCAGTCCTCTTTGTTCATCTTGCCTTTTCTTTGTATCATAAGTAAGCGTTTTCTTGGCAGCCTTTCCATGAGTGTATATTTATCTGCACTGTCCAAGATCCACCCTCCAGATGGGATCAGGCACTCTTGACATGCACAGTGATTGCAAATTCGCAATCTCACTAAGAAAAGAAATTAGTATAATTTTTTAATGCTGAATTTCCAGAAACCTTACTCATCTGCACTTCTGAGGCAGGACTTCTAAGTTATCTGACCTCTTGCAAGATTTGGTCATATTTGACAAGTATGTTTGAGTAGGTTTTGAGAGGTTGAGTGTAAAGAATTTGAGATTCAAGTAGGTTTTAGTCTTAGCTGCAGGGCTTTGATACCTACTGAAGATGGCTGTCCCTGTGCTGCAGTGAAGTTCAGGGTTTGGTAATTTAGCTCAAACCAGCTTCTGTGCCAGCTCCTGCGAGTGTGCTGGACTTTGCACTGTGGCACTTTTGAGGTACTCTGGTTTTGGTTGGCTTGGTTTCTCTGCTGATTCACTTATGAGGGTAGTAACTTCCAGTGAAGGAAAACAATAACTTGGGGGAGGAGGAGCCTTTGTGTTACCTGGCATGGCTTCTCTCGTGTTTGTATTCTGCAGCCTAACACCAGTACAGTTTACAGGGAATTTGAATATCTGTCAGTAGGAATGTCTGTCTAGTTCTTGACCAACAATAGAAGGAAGCTTCTAGAACCACCTCATACTCTCTTCCTTGTCATTTATGAGATTGTCTCTCTTTGAAGATGAATTACATGTAATTTTTGCTGTGCAAATGAAAAACTATCAAAAGAAGCAAAAAGAGTTAAATAGTGCTTTTAAGAAAGCTAATTTGCATTTAATCTGAGGCTTTCTACTCTGTTCATGACAAAGTGACTTTTATTTGAAAAGCAAACTGTTCTTTGGACTGCTTATCTGTGTTGGAACATAATGTCTTTACATCTAGAGTCCTCTCATTAAGCCCTGCAGTCAGACTAGCTGACTTGTTGAAAGAATAGGAGCTTGGGCTTTCTTTTTCATGTCAGCTTTCTTCATTTAGTAAATAAACTAGCAAATCTGGTCTGGTTTTATTTAATTTTAGCAGACCTGTTGTTAAGTCTCACACTAGCCTTGTGTGTGAATTCTAATTGGAGGTACCCTATCAAGTGTACCTTTCCCTGTGAGATACTGCCCTTTAATGCTGAAATTTGATGCTCTTGTGCTGGGTGCACTGTAGTTTCAGAACAGTTTGCATCTGCAGTTTAGCACAGTGGCACTTTGTTGACAAGGAATTGTACTCTGAACAGAGGGAACCATTCTTGTTTCTGCTTGCTGGAAGAACTGCTGGTGATAGATATTTTCAAAGGTTTCCTTTCATTATTGGCTTTTATGTCGATAAGGACAATATGAATTATTTAAACAGCTAGAAAAGGGAAGAAATCAAATTGTATCAAGCTATGTCTTAGAGCATTCTGTAATCTAATTATACTGTCCCCTCAGAATAATGAGGTAGCTCAGTCCAGAGTCCTGGTGGAACTGTTTGGCATTAGTAAATCATTTATAAACTTTTAAATTAAAGAAAACCATGACTGAACATTACAGAGCTTGCTACTTACTGTAAAAAGAACGTACCATTTTCAAAGCTAAGGACAATGAGTTTATCCAGGTAAGGTCAATTACGGAAACTTAGCATAACTTCTGTACAAAGCTGTGAAAACTGGAAGTGACTTGTTAGAACCTTGTTTTTATAATCTTAATGTTCATTCTATGCTTGTTTGTTGTCTGATTGCTTTGAATCTGATGTTTAGGCACTATCTCTGATTTAGAGAAGGAGTTCTGAACTAAATTGTTATTATGGATCAGTATAAGCCAGGTTTCTAAGCATTTAAAATAGATTGTAAAAAATATTTTCTTCAAAACTAGATTTTCTGCATTCCATTAATACAGACTAAATTAAAATTTTCTTGAAAAGGCTTTGCTTATTTTCCCCGAAGGCATTACCATTGAACCTTTTTCCCAACAAAATACTGCTGTAGAGACTGTACTTGTTGTCTTTGCAAATTAAATTACTTTTTTCCATGACTTTCATAAACACTGGCAGGTGAAAGCTGAGAACAGGGAAAGCTAGTATAAATATCTCTGGTGTAGCAGAGTTTAAAACTTGTAGGTATGCTGAGATTCATGTACCATGTCAGGTGCAATATACCCCAGGTTATAATTCGTTAAGTATCTAAAACATAACCTGACCTTGCTGAAATGCTGGGGGGGATTAGCCTTTGTGCAGGTGCACTGAGAAATTATTCAACCACATCGCTTTGATATACTGACACTGGAATTCTTGGAAGTTAAAGCACAAATAAAACTCTTGGTATAGCAAAACACTTTCAAGTTAGTCTGAGCTCTTGTTCTTACCTAACATGTGGTCTAAAAAATTTCCCCCTGCTTATGGGGCTTAAGATGAGTTGAGGATAAACAGAGCACACCATTTTGCCCAGAATCCCCAGGTCTTTGCAGAGCTGATGGCCATAGCAACCAGCTAACAGTGAAGTCTCTTCAGGAACTGGTCTAGCATTTGGCACATCTTTATGTATTCTTTGCTGCCTGATAACCCCAGAGGTTCTCACATTTGAACTCCCTTTAATTACACATTCATTAGCTATACTAACCACTTCTGTTGCCTGGTCCTCGGTCTTTATGGCTGAGATTTCTCTCTTGCATTTATAAAGCACTATGTTGATTTCTGAGCTGTTATGTGTAAATGTCAGGTGTTTTAAAATTGCTCCAGGTTTTACTTTGTCAATTTTTAAAAAGTGTAATCAGGTGGACTTTTAGGAGGCTAATCTTTTTAAAATTACTGTATCTTTTGAAGTACTTTGACATTTGACACTATCATTGAGGATACTTAACTTCCTTAGGTTCTCTTTGTCAGTCTGATGCACAACAGCTGTGGGGTTTTTGTTGATAGTAAAATCTAAGTCCTCTTGCTGGTACTTATTCCTCAAAACAAAGCTTGCACATCTTCCCTGTAAGACTATTAATCTCCAGTTGATGAACATGTAAAATAGAGTTGGACTAGCAATGCTTCTGTGCTTTCTCTAATTTGATAACTGTATGTGTGAAGATGTAATTCATGCGACCACAAAACGCTTGTAGTAAAATCTCACTTAGTGTTGTTGATGCATGATCACATTTTTTTATCCATTTTTAAAAATGCTGCAGTATGAATTGTTCTGTCTGCAGAATGACTTGTGATCTCAAAAAAAACCAGTAACATTGAATAGTTCTTTTCAAATTTTGTACAAATGAATGTGGGAAAAAATGTTCCACCGAACCTCTGGGTACATTCTTTGTCAAAAGGCTGGAAGAATTGACTTCTAAACAATTAATAGTGTGATTGTTTGATTAGAAGAACTTGAATTCAGTTTTTGTGTGCTTTCTTTGCAGACTCTTGGAAACGGATAGCAAATCGTTACGATCAGTAAATGGGTCAAGAAGAAATAGTGGATCTTCTCTTGTATCTAGTTCATCAGCTTCCAGCAATCTCAGCCATCTTGAAGAAGACTCATGGATCCTGTGGGGGAGGATTGTGAATGAATGGGAAGATGTACGGAAAAAGAAAGAAAAGCAAGTTAAGGTAGTAGTTGAACACTATGGTTTTTTGCATGTATTTGTAGTGAGATTTAACTGATACTGTTTTATCTTCCTGTGGGGCTTATTTTTAAAAAATATGTAATAGAAGCTTCCAGTTGAATCTGTTCCGTCCCTAAGCCTTAGTGATTCCTGTGCAACTGTCACTCAGCAAATGTCTCTTACTACAAACTAGATGCATTTCCTGTATCTTGAATACTAAAGCTTTCAGTCTGCCTCTACTGAGAGATTTCTATGAGTACAGACAAGATTTACTTCATGTTTTCAAAACCAGAATTACTGAAAATCGACTTGAGAGCATCTGACTGTTTGATGCTTTGATTATTTTCCTACTGAGCAGCTCTCTTTAATGCATCCTTAATAGGAGAGCTGATAATTATACTGCATGAGGCTCCCATGAGTTCAGTTTTTTGTGCGTGCCAAGTATGTTGACCCCAGGGATGACCTGAGGCAGAAAAACACACTTTCTAAGTTCTGAGTTGATTGGATAAACTTTGCCCAGTGTGTCCATTCTGGGGTAGTTGTGAGCATGTACAGAATTTGAGTTCGATTGTGCTTTAAATTCAAACTAGAAAGCATCTGGTGCACTTGAACATATCCATGTTTCAGCAGCAGCAAGTACAGCAGAGTGGGATTATTTTCGTTTGTAGGCAAGTCTGTTCTGCTTTGGGTCTTTATTGGCTGTAGTCTTTAGTTTTATGTGCAGAATACAAATGTCAGGGTCTTTTCAACAGTTTGAAATGTGTCTGTGAATAGGTTGTGGGAAGGCAGAACAATGGGCTAAAGTAAAGTATCTTTTATGTGAAGCTGTTGTGAAGAGAGAACATGACTTGAGAGGAAACAAGGGAAGAAAATGAATTCAAGACTTCCTGCTTGCATAGGGAAAGCAGTTTCTGGAAAGGTGTTCCAAAAGGCCATGAAAAGAAGGCCACATGAACCTGGCAAGAGAAAGAAGTGAGACGGTAATTAGTAGATCTGGTTAGTTAGAATTTGCTTGAACTTTATTAAGTGTCGCAAGTATAATTTGTTTTTACAGCTGACCAAGTACAATGTGGGGAGTATTGACTAAATTTCAGGGAATTTTTTAATTATATTGCTGACTAATATTATTTTGAAAACTAGCCAAGTTTTTCTTTGCTGGTTAAATAATTCTCAGGGTTTTTTTGTCAGAAGTCAGCCTAAGCTGTGTCAGTTTGCATTTACAATGGAATAGCAGAACTTCCATACCTGTTTCCTAATTGTGCTGGTAGGTACATAGGTAGCAACATAGGTGTCTTTTTGTGCTGGCTGTAAAAGCTGGTCTTAGGGTATTAGAAATCTGGTTGAGCTTCTACAGTTTTAGACGTAAGTGTCTATACCTTTCTGCAAGAAGATTCAGATTAGATATTAGAAAAAAAATTTCACTGTTAGGCTGGTCAGGCACTGGAATAGGTTGCCGAGGGAGGTGATGGAGTCACCATCCCTGGAGGTGTTTAAGAAGCATCTGGATTTGGTGCTGGGTGATACGATTTAGGGTTTAGGGGCTACAGTGAAGTGACAGGTTAACAGTTGAACTGGATAATCTTGAAGGTCTCTTCCAACCTGGATGATTCTCTCAATTTAACGAAGCATTAGCAAGTTTCTTGCTTTGTTAGTAGCCCTTGGGGCTTCAAATGCCTGATGTGCTGTCCAATAGTGACTTTGTTGGTGACAAAGGATAGCTAAAGACAGGTGTGTAAAGCTGATGTGTTGGGGTTACTGTCTTGGAGTTGGAAGTCTTTTAAGAAATGACACAGTGTTGTGTCGTAGGTAGGAGAAATAGTTGAAATGGCATTACCATGATGGTTCCAGAGAAGGCTGGATGGAGATCTTAGGGATATTAGAAAAACCAGGTCAGTGATAGAAAACTCTGCAGTAGAGGTCAAGCTTAACAAAAACAAAACTTGAAAGCAAGAGTTTCTTTGAAAGTTATCACTGTTGCATTAATTAATATTTGGAGAAGTAAGAGAAATATCTGGAACAAACAGGAAGAAGAGGATGCTTTGCAGAATAGGAGATTACTCTGGCTTCAGAATAAATAATGATGAACCTTTCAGAGACAGAGTACTTGATAACAGCTCTTAAGGTACAGACAGTGGTTGAAGCAAATGTCTTGCAGAGAAAATTGTCTAGGTCAGACTGGCCATGGCAGGGAGGGTTGGGACTGGATGATCTGTAAGGTCCATTCCAACCCCTGAATTCTGTAATTCTATGATCCTAGTTGCAGAAAGTACCACTAATACAGCCTATAAAATTCCCAAATAATAATGTTCTCAGTATTTCTCAGTTTTCAGATCAAGCAACAAGATTACTTGTCCTTGTGATTTCTTAGAAGACAAGTAAGAGGTTCTTAGATCTACTGATCTGGGCATGTTTGATTTTGTAATACCTAGCTGGTATTTTTTAGTTTATTTTGAATATAGAGTAAATTTAGTTAATTGACTACGTACAAACTTAATGTTTTCTTGGTCCAGTGTCTGAATCTACATTTGCATGCTTTCTTAGGAGACACCTTGGAAATACTGGCAGACCAGAGAAATTAGACACGATTTGTCAAGTTTTTTTAATTAGTCCTGATAGTTGTACTGTGCAAGTTTTTTGGTTGCAGTTTGCTGTGCTACAGTTAGTTTCAATTTTTGTCATTTACCTGTCTTGGAAGTAATTTTTAATTGGTGATTTCTTAGATCTCAGTTACTACAAATAGTATTAAGGGTGTTATCTTCAGTCATTTTTTTTTTTGTGAAATACAGAAATAACTGTATTAAATTGTGGTTAATGGAACTTCTTGTATAAAATTGTATGAATATTCAGTTTTTCAAGTAGCTTAAAATGGATAGGGGGCTACTTTCAAAATGTAATTTAGTCACTAAAAGTGATTCAGAGACTGATTACTTTGTTAGCTAACAATCTACGACACTAAAACTGACATATGTTATAAACTGTATGATTAGTGTTTACTGTGATGTAATTTCTTCCAAAGTTGAGAAGGAACTTAATTTGAAGTATTTTGTTCTTTAGGCTTATGTTTATCTTTCAGGAGATATAAATGAATTTGTCCTTTTTTGTGCTTTAGGAGCTGGTTCGAAAGGGGATACCTCATCACTTCAGAGCAATTGTTTGGCAACTTTTGTGCAGTGCTCAGAGCATGCCAATTAAGGATCAGTATTCAGAGCTTTTGAAAATGACATCTCCTTGTGAAAAATTGATAAGAAGGGACATTGCCAGAACATACCCTGAACATGATTTTTTTAAAGAAAAAGATAGCCTTGGGCAGGAGGTCTTGTTCAATGTAATGAAGGTGAGTCATTATTTTAGCCCTCAAAATATATTAGCAGGAACATGAACAGAAGTTTGGATTGCCTTATACATAGTGAGATTGCACCAGTTGCATGTGTTTAATTTTTTTTAAAACTTACTCTTTTTTTAAACCCTTGACACAGAAATGGTTTAACAAATCACATTCCACTTTCAAAGGCAGCTTCCAATGGTATTTCTGTATTCTCTTGTAAAGTAAAACCATTAAGTTGGCATTAAAATGGAGTCGCATTCTGAAAACTGCCTGTATTTTTTGTAGGTATGCCTTAGTTTTAGCTCTGTAGGTGATCAGAGCAGAGCTCACCCCTCTGGAGCAGCAGGTAGCAACTAGAATATCTGACTAAAACCTCTGTATAGAATGTCTGCCCTTGCTGGATTTGGGAGAGGGAGAATAACTTATTAGCAAGATAGTGGTGTGAACTATGATTGCTTTTTATTCACAATGAGATCTTAATTATTAAGAGTCTCAAATTTATTTCCCAGGCATATTCTTTGGTGGATCGTGAGGTCGGATACTGCCAAGGAAGTGCTTTTATAGTTGGATTGCTGCTTATGCAGGTAAACATGATGACAAAAAATGTGAACCTTTAAAATCCATGCTAGAATGCATAATACATTGTGGTGGTTCATTGGGAATTTTTACAATAGTTTTCCTTCATCATTTTGTTACAATGGAATTGTCAAGGGAAGCTGTTTACTCTGCAAATGAAATGAGTTTTACTTTGTCTGTTTGTTTGCCAAGATTGTATCTTGGAATGGGAGAATACTTTTATTTCTCAGAGATAAGGTAGGATTGCAGGCTGGCAAGCTATTTTGATGAATGGTGTTTCAACTATTAAAAAAACTTAATTTCATTTCTATTATACTGAATCTCCTCAGAGTTCAAATGGAACTTCACAGTTGATCTGATTATCTTAAAGCTGCTGTTGTATTACTGGTCTTTGTTTAATGGCAAAGTAGGGTATATAGTAAGAAACTTGCAGACCTCCAGTTTGGAAATGATTTGATAGAATTTAATATATACAAAGTTCATAAGAGTAATAGATGTGAATCACTTAAACAAAACAAAAGACTCAAAACAAACAAACCAACAACCAAAAAAACTCCACTGTGTACACACACACGTAAAGCAATCCTAAACCCTCTGAGGCACTTACTCTGATATATCATTATATTTGTCCACAGCTTTTACTGTGATTTTTTTTAATCTTATTTTTAATATAGATGCCAGAAGAAGAGGCATTCTGTGTGTTTGTTAAATTAATGCAAGATTACAGACTACGAGAACTCTTTAAACCAAGCATGGCTGAGCTGGGCCTGTGTATGTACCAGTTTGAATGCATGATACAGGTACATGCAAAATCTATCCAACTTCCTCTTCAGTAACTATTAAGGAACTTGGGAATTGCAATTCAAGAGCAGGCACGTCTGTGGGCCAGTAGGTGGTTTCAGAACTTCAGAAGTAAATGCATGTGGCTCTCTGGGTGCTTTTTAACCTTTGGCAGACAGTGACTGGCTTTAAACACCGAAGCATCAGGATTTGTATTGCCACAGTTTAAGTGTATGAATGTCTAATCGTGTTTGGATTGAGGACTCTGAAAGTCAAAGTCTTCAATTTACAGCTATTTTAAAAGATGGAAACTGGGAGATACCCTCATATGTAGAAATGAAATTGTTTTCAGATTGAGTACACAGAGCCCTTTATTCCTGGTCAGGTTGAGGGAGACAAACAGGTTTCTGTTTTGTGATCCAGTTTCTAACGTAATGATCAGGGATGGGATATTACATAGCCTTAGATCATTTTAGCTTTTATTTAGTAGCCTATTCTACATGTTCCTTAGGGATTTACAAGCTTGTGAGTTCCTATTAGGATCAGGAAGTGTTTTTGTAATCCGTGCTTTGCATGGTAGAAGTGCTGTAGGGCATTCTATATTGGGACTTGTCTTGCATGGTTCTAGATAATGAGTAGTCTCTTTCCTAGTCCTGTGTTACTAAGCTGCTGTCTGTACCTATCAATTATTTTCTTCTTTTATGCAAAATTTGTCAAAACCGTGTCTGAACTAAAACAACAAGCAGAAGCATAACGTAATTTGTTTTTTTTATTCCTCTTATTTTCCAGGAACATCTTCCAGAGCTTTATGTGCACTTTCAGTCTCAGAGTTTTCACACTTCTATGTATGCATCATCATGGTTTTTAACTATATTCCTTACAACCTTTCCACTACCAATTGCAACAAGAATATTTGATATCTTTATGTCTGAGGTAACTACTGAATACTTATGTGTTATATTTCAAGAGTAGCTGTTAAAAGCTGTTGTTTAGGTAGTGGTATAAATCCCATTATGATGGGGCAAATCTCCTGGTCTTGCTTTTCAGTTCTTAGGCCAATCAGATTATTTTAAGGGAAGGTGTCTGTGGATGTATTTTGTCAAGGAAGAGCAACTAAGTCCTTGAATGCTGGTACTGTGTGACTTTGTAGTCTAAGCTTGTTGAAGAGTTACCAGATCTGTCCTTTCTGGTTGCAGTGCAATAGCTTTGCATGCAGCAGGGACATCCATTCCTCAGTATTTTAGTAAGCTTGCAGTGGAAACTAATGTTGCTTTCAGGACAAAGTTAAAGCTCCATGGGAATATGCAAGCCAGGAAGAGGGAGTGTTAGTAACTTCTATTGTCCAGATGATGAACAGTAGCCAAAGAAATTAATGGAATTATTCAGTTTCACTATCATAAAGACACCTAAATTGTGTTCAGGATTAGAGCTTTGCACCCTAAGTGTAACAAATCACAGCTTATGGCCCATTTATGCTTTGCAGTTATCTTTTAGAAAGTAGTAGGTCAAAGGTAGATCCTTTCAGCTTGCCCTTGCCAACATCCAAGATTGAGTATGTAGCAAGACGTTCCCTTGTATAGGTTTCAGTAGTTTAACTGCATTGTACTATGTCCAAAATTAAAATGCCTCTTTTGAGAAGTACCTGGTTTCATTTCATCTAGATATGTTTCAGATGTTTGATAGAGCTGACATAGAGAACTCCTGTCACTTGTGTTTTTATCTCAGCACTAGCCTCTCTGCTGAGGGCTGTGTCTGGCATCAGGACAAATAGCCAGACTGCTTGTCCTTGGAATAAAGTAAGAAACCCACAACCAATTTGTTAAGAGATTTTTCAGTAGCCCTTTCGCTTGTTTGAGAAACTGGGTGAGGCTTACAATGTTAGTCAATAGTAGAATCATTCTGTACTGTTGACAATGCCATGAATAATTGTTGGATGTTTTTTAACTTCTGTTTTCAGGGTTTAGAGATAGTATTTCGAGTAGGTTTAGCACTGCTTCAGATGAACCAAGCAGAATTATTGCAGCTTGATATGGAAGGAATGTTACAGGTAAGCTAAGATTATAACGATTTAGAGATGTCTGAAATGTGTAGTGTTTGTGTATTTCCTTGCAGCTGTTAATTATATGTAATCTTGTGCTCTGATTGTTTTTAGCACTTTCAAAAGGTCATTCCACATCAGTTTGACAGTGGTCCAGACAAATTAATCCAAGCATCTTACCAAGTCAAATACAATGCAAAAAAGATGAAAAAGTAGGTATAATATTTTGATAAAATAGATTATACTGTTGTTAAGAGCTACTGTTTATTGTTTTTGTGGGGTATTTTTGAACTAGTTATTCAGTGTTTCATTTTTAATTTTCAACTCTTGAGTTTTTTTGGATTTTATACTTACAAACAGTTAAAACTGAAGTTCTGTCTGCAAAAAAAATTATTCTAAAGCAGTATTTGCTGGTTTTCTTAAGCATAATAAAGCTGTATCTCATTTCTAAAATAACCAAAAAAGCTTTGAAGAAAACTGCAATTTATGGGGAATTACAGCACTTCTGGAAACAGGAGCTGAATAGGAAAGCTTGGGGGGGAGGTGAGATTGTTTGGGTGTTTTCAAGGTGAATCTGGGAAAGGAGGTGAAACTTTATGATCTGACCTAAATCCTTCAGACTTTAGTTCTTTGGAACTGGAAGAGTATTCCCAGTGCTAAAGAGTGCATGTATGGGCAAAATTAGTCTTGTTTAAAATAGAAGTTGATAAAACTTGGCAATACCATTGGTAGTGGTAAATAACTTTCATTTGGGGTTTGAAATCTTGAGAATGACTACTTTGTTGTTAAGGTTAGTTGCATATCTCTTTTGGCTTTGGTAAATTGTGCTTTGATAAGCCAAGCTGCACATCTTGTGCTTTTCCAGAGTTGAGTTTGATAGTTCACCTGTTGGTTGTGATGTATTGTACATTCACTGCAGGTTGTACTAGGGTCTTCCAAGTTGAATTTGCCAATCCTTTGTCAGCAGCCTATGACCAGTACAGTGAGAAGTCTTCTCTAAAACAGAAGTAGGAACAACGCTTTTTAGGAAAAATATTTTCTCTGAAAACCAGTGCAATTGTATATAGTTGAAAATCCTACCATTGTGAGTCTTAACTTCCTTGCTTGCCTTCTGATTGTTATCTCAGCTTGTGGTTTTGTGTTGCCACCTTTTTCATTGGGCCAACTTTGTGGTTTGCTGGAGAGAGACCAAAATTGTTTTATGTTTAAGATATTTTTCTCAAATCTCTTTGCCTCTTGTTCTTCCAGGCTTTCCAAGCTCTGTTTTCTCTTGGCTGAATCTATTGAATTGATTACTGTATAATTATATTGAGTGGTTATTACAGAGTAGCTCCAAATCACTGCCTCTATAATGTGTATGAGTAAGCTCCTACACATCAGAGTGCTGATTCAGAGACTGTTCATATCTACAGGAGTCTGTCCAAATTTAATGTCCAGTCTGAGCCTTAGTGTGTTTCAGAGAAAATATCAGTAATCTGCATCTCTGTTCTACTGTTGTTAGTTATGTATTACATCAATACCAATCCACAATTTTTTCTAATCGTAATTTATTGTTTCTAATTTTTAGGTTAGAAAAGGAATACACTACAATAAAGACAAAAGAAATGGAAGAACAAGTTGAAATTAAAGTAAGAGAGCCTCAACAGATTTATTTATGAATTGGTTGAATTTCTAGATGGGGGTTTACATGTTTAATCTGTATATATAGCAGGACATGTAATTAAGGTCCCCAAATTCTTTTCTTTCAGCATTTGTATTTGGGATGTCTGTTCATAAAGGACACCTACAGTGAAATTGAGCCTTCTGGTGGACATTTAAAAAAAACCAAAAAATTGGACCTCAACAGATTTATTTATGAATTGGTTGAATTTCTAGATGGGGGTTTACATGTTTAATCTGTATATATAGCAGGACATGTAATTAAGGTCCCCAAATTCTTTTCTTTCAGCATTTGTATTTGGGATGTCTGTTCATAAAGGACACCTACAGTGAAATTGAGCCTTCTGGTGGACATTTAAAAAAAACCAAAAAATTGGAGACCTGCTGATTTTTTATTTCTGACTAAAGCTTGATTACAGATGGCCTCATTTATCAGAGGTGCCAAGTGTGCTGGTTTAGATGTAGGTGTCCCACACAGGAGGTTTGTATGACACATGTTAAGATAGAGTTTGTCAGAATGCACTTGACTGGTTTGTCATTGATTTTTGAGATCCTGATTTTTCTTGTGCATTAGACCCAAGATGGAGTGTCTGTCTGCAGTCACTTTTTCTTTTGGAGCATTTGCAGTTGATGAGGAAAAAGCCACCCTGCCAGTGCAGTTTATCTTTCCCTTTTACTAAGTGACCTACTTTCTGTATGTACTTAATCACTGCATATTTTTGCTTTTGTGACATAAATAGGCCTTTGATGCCTTTTTTTCCCTTTTCACTTCTTTTTTTCACAGCATGTTGTTTGATCTGGGTTTACTTCCTTGTTGTGTTTTTAGCCAGATCCATGAGAAAAGGCAGTGGGAGAAATGATGGGCAAGTGTATCATATAAAGCTTAGTGGAGGGAATGAGGTACAAGCTTTCTTTTTCCTATCCACTGCTAGTCATTTTGCCTTTCAATATCACTTTTTAAGGCATCAGTTCTTCAGAAAAATGACTGTGACATGCACATGGGAGCACAAAGGTGTTCCGAGCCTTTTCAGGCTGTGTTATTGTTGTGCCAGGCAGTGAGGCAGTTAACAGCATTAATACCTGCTGTAACAGCATCTGAAATCAGAAGACTTGCAGGGCTCAAATGACAGCTCTCTGTAGAACAGGGCAGAATAAAACCATATGAAAGAGAACTGTAACTTTAGATTTTAGTATTTTCACTAATTTCAAATCCTTCCTTGCTCTGCACTTTCCCCCACCCTCAAAAATAAAGGAACAAATCCCTCTCACCCAAACAAACAGAAAACATCAATCCTGCCTCAGAAAAATAATGAACCAAAAAACCCAACTCAACCAACCAACCAAACCCAACAACCTAAAGCTGTCTTTCTCTTTGGGACTTATGTAAATCATTTCTGACTTAGCAGAGCCTCTCAGCAGAAGACACTAATTTAGGGAGATGGTAAAACAAGTACATTTTGAGTTTGTCTTTTAGCCTGGCAGAATAAAGCATTTACTGCACTGATAGCTGAGGCTCTATTCTTAGGGATACAGGTCTCTTCCATCTGAATGCTGACTGCTAAAATTTACAGGAAGTGCATTGGTAAAGTATGCAGTTCAGTATAATTCTTTCGTATTTCTTGGGCATCTGAGGTAAGTAATTCTCAGTATAACCTTACAGATCAACATAAATTATTGTGAGGAAAAGGAGGGAAACCTTGTAGCTATCTCATTAGCCTGTTGTAGTGCAGGGAGTGCACTTTCATGTCCCTTGACCATGAAGACTTTGGCTCTGTTTGTGAAGAAGAGACTGTCAAGTGTAATGTGGGCTTAAGCCCTGTGGTTCACCTGCAGTCATACTGCTTTCAGCTACTGCCACACAGATGCTTTTGTATAACATGTCTTCTCTTCTTTGCTGTATCAACCTGTGTCAGCTCATGTTTTGAGCTGGTACATGTAAAAGGATGTTAAAAAGGTTACCAATTATTTTTGCATTTATACGGATTTTCATAGATGTGATGAGCTAAAAGTATTGTTAGCTTGCTTGGCTTTTATTAGACTTTCAATTCATAACTTGAAAAATGGATTTCTGAACTCTTTACCTTCCAGAGGTTACGAACTGAAAACAGACTCCTAAAACAGCGCATTGAAACCCTAGAAAAAGTAAGTATCTTGGGGATTAGATTTAATCTGTGTTAATTGATATTTAAATTGATGGCAATTTTAGTATATGAAACAGGGATCTCAGAATCATAGCTTACTGTTTTCCTGCTAGTCTGTGGTGTTTACTAACAGTGCTTAGCCAAATAGCACAGCAATAACCAGGCAGTTAAGGTCAGTGCTTTGAATGTGTAAGGTTATTATATATGCCTCTGACTGAATATAAAATCAAATGTTTTGACATACCCAACTTTTGTTGTACTGTTTTTTTTCTGAATTAGAAGCATCTGTTCAAAGTCCAGAAGACCACATTGAAATAGTGGACTGCTTGGGTGGAAAAGAGGTTATTGTGAGAGAATCCTTAGTTTGGAAAATCTGAAGTTGTTGGGTGTTTTTATGTAGGAGCAAAATGACAGACCTACCAGATCACTTGATTGCTAGTGAGTACAGCAGCAGAGAGGTGCTGTTGCAGCATTCACATTCAGAACAGGAGGACTGCCATTAATTTGTTCTATGTAATTTTGAAATTTTGTGGCAATTTTGGCTATGTGGTGGTGGGAATATCTTAAGGCTTGTTTCTCATAGGTGTTTAGTCGAGAATGGAGTTTTGTTAGGCTTCTTTGTAACTGGATAAACCTTCAAACTGCTGTGGACATGTTGCCAACATGCAGGCATTGTTTCCCAGTGGCCTCTCCTATATCCTGGTATCATGCTTCCTGTGGCACATTGCATCTGAGCTGCTCTGCTCTAGAATGAGAACATTCTTGTCCATTTTAACCACAAACAGGGACCATCTTTCAGCAAATGGAACTGAATGCTCTTGTGAGTTGCAAACAGTTGTTCGTGTTTCACAGGGAAGAAAATAGTAAAGATTCACTTCAGTTATGTAGTTGAAAGATGTCCCACTTGAGATGTTAAACCCATTGCAGTTCTTTGCAAAATACTCCATGCATGTCGTTCTAATGAATTGATTTCTGAATGTGGTTTGGAAAATGCAGATAATGAGGACACATTGTGAAAGCTGTGACCAAGAATACAATATTATGAACATTTTTGTTTCTAATATTGAAGCATTGATAAAACTAATGGAAAAGAGCAGGCTCTCTTTAAGAAGCTTGAAGCTGTTGTGAATTACTTGAATGTCCTTGGCAAATATGTAATAGGAAATATCCCTGTTTTATACTCAACTTGTAGGGGTTTGAAAGCTTTTCTTTGTAATTGCAAAATCCATGAAGAACTGCTAGATGCTTGTGCTTTTGAAAAATCTGTACTTAAAATTTCAGAATTCACTTCTAGTGTATGCTGATCTGATTGGAATTAAAACATTTCAAACTGGGAAAATATAATCTATTAATGACAATTTCTGAAAGTCATTATCACAGCGTTCAACAAACAGATCATCAAGTGTGAACAAACACATCCAGTTCTTCTGTTGGAAGCTTATTTTGAAAATATTTTTCCCTTATCTCAACACATATGATTTAGTTGCGATTTCCTTAGTTTACTTTAATGACAAACATCTTACTTTAACTTCTAAGTAACAGCTGATAATTAGCTAGTTTGAAATTCAATTTTAGTAAAAGTTCCAAGGACAAAGAAGGTCTGTGAATAGAGGTGTTGCTCTGTTGTAGAATGTGCAAGCAATGGAGTGCTCTCAGGGGTGATAAAGTAGGGATTAATTAAATGAAGCTGCAGGGGGTAGTGCTTGCCAATGTGCAAAATTGAAAATTTCTTTCTTGCAAAACTTTGGCAAGGAAGGAAAATCTATGAACTGCTTGACGAGTTACTACAAGAGTTCAGTAAAACAAAAGACTAGCTGTCATAGTTGACATTCCCTACTTGTGTCTGTCAGTTTGCACCATTTAACTTTTCCTGCTTTATCTTTTTGGAAGCTGTAGTTCTGCATGAGTACCTCAATGCTTACTGGAGTTTCCTTTGTGCTCAAATTATGCCTTTGTTTCACGTTGTGGGTGGACCATGTCTTGCATCTATCTGCTAGATCATATCAGGCAATGCATCAGTAACTTTTGGTAATCAGGGAAGCAAGTCATTCACATAAAGATACCCACTGTCCTGTAGGTGAATTGTAAGTGTTACAGTAATCTGGCTTTGAAACCTTCTTGTATCAAAGATACAAAGATCAAAGACTGTGTTAAATCTATTGCAGAAAAGGCTGCTTCCTGGGAATTTCAGGCTGAGTTGCCTTAATTTATATGAAGATTTGTTAATTTTGCAAAAGGAGTTTGCACAGAAAATGGGTAGAATTTGGGCATTTTCTTTCTATCAGCTCTTGGTCTTTCTTGTCACTATTATCAGCCCCATGTTTTTTGGTTTTCCTTTTTCTTATTCCTCTCTGAATTTTTCCTTTGTAGGAAAGTGCTTCCTTGGCAGATAGATTGATACAGGTATAGTCTTTTAGTCTTTTACTGTATGACTCTCTTCCTACTCTTAAAAATCCCCCAACTGCTTTAATGCATGCATATTGCATGCTGTATTCTATCCCTGCTTTGCTGATTTGGAATAAATACAGAGCTAATATCTTGCTAGAAATTTGTTTAATTTTGTTTACTAAAAATACATAAACCCAATACCTGCACGTTACAGTAATTTTCCTAACATAATGTAATTTTTGGTGAATTCCTATGACAAATGGATTCTATGACACCCTATTAACACTGAAATTGAATATTGTGAACTTAAATCTGTGCATGTACAACTGAGTAATATTGCATGAAAGGATTTTTATTGAATGCAAGTACACAGCTGTGCTTGCTAAATGGATGCTGAACTTTGTAATAAAGTACTAAAGCAGCTGTTTAGTACCACCTTGTCCTGAAATTTCTACCAATTGTACTCTGTGCTGTTCGCAAAACCAATCTGACAAAATAAGCAGCTAAGCATCACAAAGGCAGTCTGTCTTGGATTTGTCCTCAAGTGCTTACAAAAATAAAATTATGTCCTAAGGGACAAGTGACAAGGGCCCAGGAGGCTGAGGAAAACTACCTCATAAAACGGGAGCTGGCCACCATCAAACAGCAGAGTGATGAGGCCAATACTAAACTGGAGCAAGCTGAGAATACCATCAGGGAGCTCCAACAGCAGCAGCAATGGGTAAGGAGCCTGACAGCACATCATCTCATCTTTTTCACTCACTTGTGTTTATTTTTCCTCATCATGACATGGTCTCTGTGCTGTCCTTGTAAATGCTTGTTCATTGTGAGTTGCATTCTTAGAATTACACAAATTGGACTGAATGATATTTTGGTCTGTTCTTACTAATAGATGAGATCCATAACCCTGGATAGATGTAAGCTATTAGTTTATTAAAAAAATCCCCAACATGCCCACAGTGAAACACACCAAGCTAAACAACTCAATAACAACAAAACAACCCAAAACACCACCACCAGCAGCAAAAAAATACTAACAAAAACCCCACACATATAATCTTTGGTAGCTCTTGTTGCTGAGAATGTAGCCATTGCAAGTTGTATCACTCTGAATACTCAGATTTGAGAGTTCATTCACAATGCCATTACATAGCATCTTGTATAAGAGAGACTCTCTCATGTTAATGTATAATCTCTGTACCTATATTTGGTTTTTCCTAGTATGCTTGAATTTACTGCTTGCTGAAGTGGAAGGGTGTTGTCTCTGAGTTTTGAACTACAGGACTTGATTGAAAAGTATGGGTTTATATACACGCAGAGCAGGAAAATAATTTTTGGCAGCTGTCTGTAGTACTGTTTGTGTGTACTCTATTTTAGGTAGTAAAATGTGCAAGACTTCTGACTGTTGCTGTGAGACTGAAGTTACTTTCTCTAAGCCACTTTCAAAGTGCTCAGTATCTTCTCTCTTGGGGATGAAGGGAAGCCATTTCAGCATCTTCACCTGTTGAATAATGTGTGTACTGGTAGTGTTGATGTAACTATCCTTGTATTGTTTCAAGTAAGTGCTATCCAAGTACTTGTCTTGGGCATTTCAGGCATATGAAATAGAAGTTTCTAAAACTGCAGCATACTGCAGCTGCTTACCAGGTCCCTTAAGGTTAGTGTAGCAGGTTTTTTTTACACATCTTCCACCAAAGTGCTGTCAATACTTGTATCTCATATTGAAAGGTAAACATGATATTTACTGTTACACTGAAAAATCATAACTTAAATGCAACATTCTATCACTAGTCTATTGCATCTGTTTAATGCATTTCAGGGAAGAAAAGGTGCATATTTTAGAATAGTTACAAGGGGTTATTAATGAGCTGTTACTCTGTAATGTGAAATGCTGCTTTTTATTTGAGCAATTGCTTTTAGGGAAAAAAACCTCCGTGAAGAAATTATGATTAGGAAAATGGGGATGTTCTAGTGATGCTTTCCAACATTTTAGACATGTAGTCTTTTAAGTGAAATACAATGGGAAATGTTTATAGACTGTGGTATTCAGCTGTTTATTGGCTGATTACAGGCCCGTGGAATGTGTTTTTGGAGGCATCTATGTTCATGACCTGTATGCAATTAAAGGTTATTAGAAGAGACTAAGATACTATATTTATTTATTAGTTAATTGATGGGTAATATGAATTTTAAAGCTAATGCTTTTAAGTATCCTGGGGCCCTTCTTGAGTAGCAATGGTGGGGAGGCCTGACAGGTCAGCTAGGCATGGGAAGTGATCCTGAGCTAAACCTTGGATAAGCTAAGCTGTGAGAGCAGAAGGTGGACAGGTACTGCAGGAGGGGAAAGTAAGTGAAATACAAGCATGGGCAGTTCATTCCTACTGTGCCTGCTGGCAGCACTCTTTTCCTCCACTGAAAGGTGCCGTGACTACAGAAGGTCATCTGACCATGTGTGGAACTGAGACTGGAAGTCCATGTGCTTGTAGACAGCTTTGTGCCTAGTAGGTAATTTTGGAAGCGTTAGGAATAGCACTGTGGTTTCAAGAAGTATCGGAACTGGACAACGCCGAGAAGGCGTTAAGACGGTTTCTGCTGGGAGCTGGGCGGGTTGTGCGGCCCCAGCGGGTCTGTGCTGGGAGAGGCTTTTCCCTTGTTTCCAGGCGCGGAATGGGAACGCAGCTTTGGCGTGTATGGCGCCACCTGGTGGGAATGCCGCGGGTTAGGTGGAATTTCGGCATTTCACTGTGCTCTGATAAATCCACTCGCTGGTTGCCGGTTCATGGCGACACTCCTTTTCAGGACTGGCTCATGAATATCTGCTTTCACTTTTTTCCTCCAATTTTGTCAGTTTTGTTTGTGATTAGCAAAAATGATTGCACTTTAAACTGGTAAATGCCAGCAGAGTTTCTGTGCTTATTTAAAAGATAGAGCATCTGTCTTACTTATTTTATAATCCACATCTTTTCCAGTCTTGAATGGTCTGTTTCAGTATGATAGAAACTGTAATGTTTGGATATGAATTTCTGAATAGGAATGTATGAAAAGAGCTGGCTAAGGATCCCTCCTTGCAGCTGACTCTTCTGAGCAGCACTGGGATTAAAAAAAAGAAAAGAAAGCATGTTTTATTGGTAGTAAAAATTGTATCTAAACTGTAGTATTTCTGAAAAGGTTAACATATTCTTTGTAAAAAGTTCTGCATTTGCATTTTAAATGTTACGGAGGGTTTATACTATCTGTTCTATGAGATCTGATAGCACAAGTCTGCTGGTTTAAGGGTAAGTATTGGAGGTGTTTACTGCACATGTGTGTCTGTGAAGAAATTCTCCACTGCAACACTTCTTCACAAGGCTAAATACAGGGATGGGTAAAGGAGTATTCTTTTAACTGAAGTCCAAACCCAGAAGCCCCAGTTACACACAAGTTTATTTTTCCCTGTGCTGAAGTGTTTATAGGGAGTTTTTAGTTGAACCAGAATGACTTCGTAATGAAATGTGGAGTCTGAAGGGGTTCTTACCACTGTACTAATGAACAGCAGTAATCTGCCTCTGGCATGTCTGATCTTGAAATACAGAAACTTGCCAAATGCTTCTAGTTGGGGTGGGTAACCAAACAATTCAGAGGAAGGTGGCTTCTTCCTCATACTGCTAGTAAATCAAGAACTGCATGGAGGAAATTATGCCTGACTTCATCAGAATACAGAGTTTTCTTTTGAGCCACGAAGAGAGTAATGGTATTTAAGGAGTTAGGGGCAAGGGTAATCAGCCTGTTGTAACTTACTCCTGATAATTATGTGCCAAAGGTTTTATTCTCAGTTCTTTTCCCCCCTGTTGTTTCTAAATGAAAAGGGTAGCTTCTGGTGGATGTAAAAATTTAATAATCTAATGATTTCTGCCAGTTAAATACAGCTGCAGAATGCAAATTTCAGTCTTTCCCAGTGGCACTTTAATTTTCAATGATCACCCAGTCAATCAGTCTGAATGCTTTAAAATTGAATGGGAGAAATGAGAGGCAGATCAAGCTGAAATTGCTTCACATATTTAAATAGGCTTTTCAACTATATTATGTGAAGATAGAATTTTAATTGACTAAGCATTCCGATGGAAGCTTATGCATTTTGCAAGGTAATTTGTAGCCATGTATTTGGTTATTGTTACAGCAGCTCCAGAATGCATAGGATTTTTTTCAGAAACTCATGCTAATGATTGATGGTAATTAAGAATATTGTAATTGATATAGGGGATATATGCTTGTAAATGAGTGTTGCAGCCTTTGGAAGCTTCACTTTATTTTACAGTATGCTTTTTTAATATTGCATTCTAATTTGCAATCAAAAAGCAGAAAATAAAAGTACTGTATTTAGTAAGGTACTACAGTTGATGCTTTAATGTGTAAACAAAGTTAGCTGGGCAACTGCTGAGCAGTCTGTTAATAGCTTCAATTCACTGAAGAAACATTCTGTACTTAGGTCATCAGCCAAAATAACATTAGGAATGGTCATGTCAGCCCCAGAGATCTTGCTATTTCTGAGATTTTAAGAAATGTTAGGGGACGATAAGTCCAGTTTTGTGAAGCTAAGCAAGCACTTGTTTCTTTTAGAATTAAATTGCAATTTTAGAGCTTTATTTTAAAAATATCTTTTCAAAACATATATGAAAAATTGACTTTGGTTAAAAATGTTTGGCTGGTACCTGGAAATCTGTTTTTTTGTTACAAATTTTAAGGTTAAGACAAAGATATAAAAGCAGGTTTTTTGCTAAAGAAGTCTGTTTTTATGTAGTTTTCAAGCACTGTTTTGACTATAAACTTGTATCACCTATATATATAAAATTGCTGAAATTGTGTTTTGTTTTATTAAGGAGCAAAAAGCACAGCTTTTATCTTGTGAATATTGCTTTTTAAATCTCTTTTGATCTTGGCCAAGTCTTTTTGCCAGTCTATCAGGACTTGCTGCCAAGTTTGTTGTGGCTAAATAGATAAGTATTCTTAATGTATTCCTTAGGCAGGAGAAATTACTTGGGCCTGAAACTTGTTTTGTCCTGTTTACCTTTGTTTTGTGCATTAAAGGTCAGGGAATGTCACACTGTAATAGAAACATGGAACTGAAGTTAATTTTGTAAATTTTTAGATCTAGAAAAGTAAATTGTTTGATGCAAACATAAAGTAAGGCACAATTGTATCTTTAATATAATGAATGCTCAATGGATTTTAAAGTTGAATTGTTAATTAAAACTCAATCTATGAATCCAAGTATTTCTATTTCACAATGTAGTTAATGACACCAAAAATATATTAAATTATTGCCTCTAAACTTAACTTTCAGTGTAGCTATATAGACACAGTAACTAGGCAACTACACTTGGAAGATTTCAACACCCACTCTTTTCCTAAATCAGTAATTTAAATGCTGATTTAGTTGGCATTGCCTATTAAGCAAGTCTGACAACCTGTCAATCTGACAAGTCATTTTAAAGTGACCCAAGAAAGAAATAAATTGTATTTTATATCTACTGACTCAGGGAAAAGGTTAAATGAGGCTTTTGCATATAAATGCTGCAGTTGGATGTGTCTGTTGGACAATGCAGTTTCATGAAATTGTGCTTTATCAAGTGAAAGGATGGATCTCACTTTTAATTCCAGCTAATGAAAAGCCAAGAAGTAAATTAGTTGTGAATTAACTTACTTAAACAGAACTGTGGTTTTTTCTCTTCCCCCGAAGTTTAGAAAGGGTGACCATAAATTCTGAACTGCTGTTTTGTTACTGCAGAATGTGTTTTGGGTCTGCAAAGCTGATTGGGGAGTAAGAACTTACTTGGAGTAAGTTCTGCATGGAAAGAACCAAATTTCTATAGCTTGAGCCTATGCAGCCTAGAACAGCCTAGAATTTCTGCTTGGCTTTTTCTCATAAAGGCACAGGGAAGAGAATCTCAGAAGAAATATGTATAGTGTGGGCAAATGAGAGCCAAGGGTTGGAGTGGAAGAAAGGGGCAAACCAAAGTGATTGTGCATTGAAGCATACGTGGCTTTATTTTAAATCCAAGATTACGGAAGGCTTTTGTTGAATTGGAGTCTGAGTTGGGATTGAGAGATCCTTGTAATTAGCTAATCTTTCCTAAGCATCTTTTTCTGCATATCACAAAATAACCACAGATCCTTTGAAAACTTTTCAGTTTGGTTTACAGTGAGGGAAAAATTTCAGTACTAACAGGGCTGTCACGTTAGTCAGACACATTTGGCTGTGTGGAGGTGCAGCTGTTTGAGAGGTAAAGCATTAGGGATATGTTTATTCATCTGGGTGGACATGTTAGTAGACTTTATAAGGTAAGCTCTTAAGCTGCTATTCCTGATCTTAAGCATTTGAATGTACTTTTCACGCCAAATCTGGTATATAAAACCCCTTTCAAGCCATCTGTGCTCCATACTAAACATATTTCTACAAACTTTGTAGCATAAATGCAGTTCACGATACAGTGAAGACTTTGTGCTACAGCTGGAAAAAGAGCTGGTCCAAGCCAGGCTGAGTGAAGCAGAATCCCATTGTGCCCTGAAGGAGATGCAAGATAAAGTTCTAGAGATGGAAAAGGTAAATCAAACCAGAACGCTCTGCACAGAACAGCACCAGAAACAGAATACAGGTGTCTGTAATTCTTTGCATAACTCTGCTCTAGAACTTTCTCTTCTATGCTTTCATGCTTGCAAGATGCTTTTCAAACCTGGAAACACAGCAATAAAACTAAGATCTGTTTGCACTGGGAAAGGTTTGTTGCTTTTCTCCTGTTCCTGAAGCCTACTGTAGTGGAAAACTTGGATTCTGGTGAAGTCTTTACAGGAATTAGCAATTGTTTAAGATTATATCCTGCAATAAGGGCAGTGGGCTTAGAGGTGATGTAACACTAAATAGTTTGGATGGGGAGGAGGGAAGAGTTCAATATTACCATTCCCAGGTCTTGAGTATCTTCCACTTCATCCTGTTATGGGCAGGGAAAGAATCCCTCCACTGTTGAGTATCAAAATCTCTACTACTTTCTGGGTGCCATGCAACATTTTCCTTTCTTTGAAACACAACCACAAACTAAAACAGGAAAATAAGGAGAGAAAAAGAACACAATAATTGACCTGACATAAAACATGCTTTTCGGATCCCATTGTATTGGCTTTGGAAATAGTTTCCTTACAGAAATTTTAAAGAGCTGTATACCCAGGTTTTGGCCAGAATTTAGTGGCTAATTATATTAACCCACTGGAGTCAAGATTTACTTTTTAATTTATCTGACGGACTTGATGAGAGTCTGATGGGTTAGTAGTGTGGTAGTTTTTACTGTACTGAACTTTGGCAAGAATACAGGATATAATGTATTTGCCAGAATTCAAAAGGACACTTTAATCTTCACCATGGAAACAGCACACTGCAAAAGTTATTTGTGAAGAAAAACTGTAGTAGTGGGATCAATCCCAGCGCACCAGACACACTCAGATGTATGGTAGTATTCCAGTCTGTCAGAGTGAAATTAGGCACACGCAAAAGTGGCTGAATCTAACTCCCTCAGAGTCCTCCAATACAGCTCTTCACTATGGCCATACTGGCAGTGATGTGAACATTCAGAAACAGACCCTCACACTTCCTGTACTTGCCAGTATTCAGATCCCATGATTTTGAAACATTAAATGCCAATAAATGGCTGTTGTGCTGTATTCTGTTAATGTTAACCATGGCTTTACTCTCAACTCTCAAAACCTAGCAACTGTCACAGTATTACATATCTACAAAAACTCTTGATTTTTGCTGAAAATGACTACTGAAAAGTACAGTAGAATGTGATCAACACAGTTCAGCTTTGAATATTTGGTGAGCAATGATTCGATGTAAGGATATTGTCGTTAGACAGCCTGTCTTTCTTCTTCCCTTCTGTCGGTTTCCCAGACTTCCATTATTAGGGTTTCATCTATGTGTTGCTTTGCCCAGGCCACCCCTGCCATGTGTTTTGCTGTTTTCTATTTAGCTTTCTCTAGTCTTTCTGCTTTTTCCTCATGTGTTTTGTACTTTCATCTTTAAGACCTCTTCTTGACTGGCTGTTGTTTGTAAATGTTAATGGACAATTTCTTTGTCAACATGTCTCTTCTTTTTTCAAAGGCTGATGACCTACTTCCTAAACAATAAATTTCCATTTATTCTTTTTCCTGTAAACATAAATGAAAGTTACAGCTTTGAGGTGTAATTTCAGATACTCAATTGCTTTACTTTTTATTAACTAGCTCAAAATCTCTCAGATTTATCTCCATATTTTTGATATGTTCAACTTCTGTAAATATAATACTTCGTTGTTAGGGATACTATCTGGGGAAATTGTGACTTCAAAATGCCTAATACTACTACCTTGTCATGATTTTCTGTAGCTGGCAGTTGGAAGATATTTATACGTATTCACTATATCCAGGAACTTAGATTTTTGATGGATTTTATTTTGCAAAAGATGTGTACTTAGAGTTTGGTTAGTAAAAAGAGTTATTGTTCCATGTCTATGTTCTTGGAGTGGGTTTCACTAAGCCTAATTTTATTCAAATACGTATTTAAGAGGATGGTCCTTGTTGCAGAGGAACAGCTCCCTCCCTGATGAGGAAAATGTTGCCAGACTACAAGAAGAGCTGATTGCAGTAAAATTAAGAGAAGCAGAAGCTTTGACAGGTCTCAAAGAACTAAGGCAGCAAGTCAAAGACTTGGAGGAACATTGGCAGGTATGGGCAGCAATGCACTTCTATCAATTTTTATTTTCAATAAATGATGACAGAGCAGAAGACTATGAAGCTTTGAGATACAGAGATCAAGTAGAAACTAATGATTGTAGATCAAGTTGCTGAGGTGAGAAAATATTTAAGTACAGCTGTCACAAGAAACTTAACTTCCAAAATATATTAGAAATTGGTCCCTAGTTGTTACAGATGGCAGGAGACATGTGCTACCAGCTAACCATTCTGGTAGGAGGTAAGTACCTGATCAGTACTCCTACTTTACTAAATGTTAATGAGGGCTAGAAATAGGCAAAAGTCTCAGGATACACTTGCAATTCAGTGACTGTAGTTGGGAATGACTGTCTTCAGCTTTTTATTGTCTGTTCTTAAAACTAGCAAGTTTCCATGGGTTTCCAGCTTTTGGGGCCAATAGGAACACTGTAGCTATTTGTCCGCATCTAACTCTGAGACCTTAAATGAAATGAGGGAACACGAGGAAAGGTCAGGCATTATCAACAAAACCATGTGATTTTTCTAGCGTCATCTAGCTCGGACCACTGGAAGATGGAAAGATCCTCCCAGAAAAAATGCAGTGAATGAGCTACAGGATGAGCTGATGACAGTCCGGTTGAGAGAAGCAGAAACTCAGGCTGAACTGAAGGAGACCAAACAAAGAATGATGGAGATGGAAACACAGGTATGTTGCTGAATAGTAGTTTGCATGAATAGAGCTGAATGCTGGCAATTTGGTGTTAAATGGTAGATACCTGATGGTTATCTTCACCATCCACAGGTAGGACTTCAGTTCCAAAATGTGGGTTTTTTTTACTGCTGTTAGACTAGGATGGGAGAATCTAGTGCATACAGTCCAAATTACTTTAATGTCTCTCCGTTAGTCTTTTCCAGGGCTAAGCTTTCTGAATTTTTCATTTGGATTAGTTGGTAGACTCTGTGTGTGTGTGTGAGATTCTGCATTCGTTAAATTGTAACTGGTGTAATAACAAAAGTATTTTTAAGGTATTTAAACTGAAGCTGGAGCTGTCTAATTGACAGTTCTGATAATAGTAATTCTAGTTGTTTAAATGTCAGTGTTGGCTTTTTCTGGTGAAATTAGTGATACTAGATTGTCTACTGAGGCTATGAATCTGGTTACTAAGCTGTGGACTCAGCAAAGCAGCTGTGTTGACAGGTTTTTTTAGCAGAACCTTTGCATTTGTGTGCCAGAAAAGAAAACCATGGGTTCTTCTTGCTGAGGGTTCTGAAGAAAAGACAAGCATAACTTGACTGCCAAGATTTTTTTCTAATGTATAACTAGGGAATAAGTTGTTAACAAATCTGAAATGAAAATACACTAAAGTTGTTGGTGAGTTCTTACTATATTGCTGAACTTCCACCTGAGTCAGTAAGCACAAGAATTTGTAATAACTTTTTTGAAAATCTTCCCCTGAAATACCTAAATGTAACTGTTTTTCGAAAGAGACCTGTGAATCCAAAATGCTAAGCAAACAGTAGCTTAGCTTTACAAGGTTCAGCAATCCCAGAAACCAGGATGCACATAAGAATATGCTGTTGAATAGAGATTAGCTAACTGCAAGGCACATGGTGGCTTATTTCTGACAGAGGCATCCCTTTTTCTGTTTTCACTTTTAAAGTTTTCTTTGAAGTGTCAATACTGTGCACTACAGTTACCATGTGCTTATATTTTGCTGCCGTTTCCCCAGCTGTGTGTTTTGGTCAGTAGGGGGCACAGGGATCCTTCTCTCTGGTTTACATGTATTAAACCTGTAGGACCTTTAGGTACTTCTCGCTGCAGCGTTATGCTTCGAGTCTTTGTATGTGCTGTTTAGGTGTCATCTGAGAGAAATGCAGTGGTTCTCTTGATCTGCACTGGTCTGCACAGCTTCATGTACAAAGGGTGTGACTTGTACTAGTGCACTGGTCTCAGTTAAGCTGCCCTGTTGCTTTCAGGCATTCACTGGACAGAGAAAGGTGCACATAATATTTCTGACACACCTGATGTTTCTTGGATGTATGCTGTAATTGGGATACAAGTTCACAAAATCTTTGCCTTAGCCAAGCAAGAAATTGGGAAAAACAGTTGTATAGGAGCTTTGCAATAATGTTCTTGCAATGAGTCATCTGTTGTTTAAGAAAAATACGAACATCCTGATTGTAACCAAAATGTCATGCAAACTCTTCTGATTACACTTAGAAAACTCTGAATGCTTTTTCATCAAAAGTTTTTTTTGTGGTAAATAAGTCTCTTATCAGACTTTGGGAG